AGGGGAAAAAATGTAAGGCCTAGGACCTAATGTGAAAGGAATTTATGCCAAAGAAGTTAAACATTTGTGGCTTTGGTAGATGAAAAGGGGAAAATCTTTTCCTAACAGTCCACAGCAGACACCCCTGGGAAATATTTTTAACACACCTGTTGAGTTCACTGAAAAAACTAAACACATCCCAAAGAATCATTAAGCAGACAGACAAAGGGTTTTTTAAGCAGACACTTTACTACAATAACACATTTCATGCTGCAGGTTTTCTTTAACACATTTCCTTCTCACACCTTATAAACCAATTTTTATTTCAACCTAATTCTGAGTCACACCTGCTATTCAGATTTTGGTCACCAAAATCATTCCTACTTTGAAAAATATCTGAGGGAAGTTATAGAAGATAGTTTGATTTACTTGTGTTTAAGACTGATTAATGGGTTCACCAGCACCACTGAATCCTACCTCCAAGCCACAGAAAGTCGTTGACAGAGCGCAGGAGTTCCACTGCCATGTGATAATGCACCAAGGAATCTTGCAGCATTCCAGCTTGTAAGCACAGGTCACCCACATGTTTCCTCATCCGGCCCTGACAGCGCTTCTTGTAGTGTCTGCAAAGTGAAAGGTGCAGCTCAGTTACTGCAGGAAATGCTTATGAGGTAATAAACATCCAAACTCGTTCCTCCTTAATAGTAGATCCCGATTAATTGACTCTGTCTCTGAGCAAATAGCTAGTATGACTGCTGACCAGCAATACATGCAAAAGGACCCACAATTTGAGCATGTATTGGGGAAAAGCACTGCATGTGTATTTTGGCTACACAGCATTAGAGTCAGAAAGTTAATGACTGCACTTCAGAGCACTTTGATAGCCTAGTCACAACTGAAATAACAGAATCATCCAATTGCCTGGGTTGGATGGGACCTCAGAGATCATCTGGTCCAACATTTCATAGGAAAGGGAGCCAGGATGAGATTACTCAACACTCTCTCCAGTTGTACCCTGAAAACCTCCAAAGCAGGTTCTTGCAGACCACGATGAGTATTTAGCTGCCTTTCCACATCTGATATGCTGCTTTTTTGCTTTCAAGTACACCCACAAGCACATTGTTAAGCCAGGGCAGTCTCTTGTTCTGCCTTTCTCCTTTCCCTCAGTAGGGAATGGAATATTCTGGTGCTTCCAGGAATGTGTTCTTGAATAAAACTCCCAACACTCATGAGCTCCTCTGCGCTCCATGGATGCTTCCCATGGAATCCCACACATTTCAGCTCTGAATTTTTTATTGAAGATGACTCTCCTAAAATCCTGCTCTGACCCACTGCTCTTCTCTGGTGGGACCACCAGCCTGGTCCCTCTCCACACACAGCCCACAGGTGTCAGCAGCCCAGAACTCCCCTTAGGCACCCTCAGGTCTCACAAGGCTCTCCCTGCTCTCAGCACCTTCTTTTAAAAAGAAGAGTGAAACACCACAATCACTTCAGGCAAGAACTGAAGTTTCACTTCTTACTCCTCTTTTTTTTACCTACTGAAATAAATGGTGAAGTTCTTTCCTTTCCCAAACAATATGAATAGCCAAGGCCAAAGAAGTCCTAATGAAAACACTGAACAGACACTTTGGAACAACTGAAAACACAACTTGGGCACAAATCTGTTTGATAAAGGCACTAAACTTACTAATTTTTTATAAGTTCTAGCTAAAGAAATCATAGAATCAACTGGGTTGGGAAAGACCTCCAAGATCATCAAGTCCAACCCTGGTTGGACCGTGGTCACTAGACCATGGCACTAAGTGCCACATCTAGGCTTATCTCAAAATTCCCAGGGATGGTGAATCCACCACCTCCCTGGGCAGCACATTCCAATGCCTGATCACTTTCTCCATAAAAAATTTCCTCCTAATACCTAACCTAAACCTCCCCCGGCAGAGCTTGAGTCTGTGCTTGATCATCTGTTGGGACTCGATGATCTGTAAGGTCCATTCCAACCCTTAAATTCTATGATTCTATGAAGCATGGAATGAAATGAGGTTTGGGGCAGTGGAGGCTTTTTTCCAGCCAAGAACTTCCCAGAGGACCTAGAGATGAATCAAAACATGTGACTGAAATAATCTCCATAGCACATCTGAACAGACTCTTCACAAAGTCTGTAATGTAGAAATAAAAAAGGGGGGACAGAACATATGAAGTGTAAGGGTAGGAATAAGGATATTAATTTATTTCATTTGAGTTTTAGGCTTAAAACACTAGGAGAAATGGTAATAAAAAACCAATTACACGGTATTGGTTTATTGGCTTTCAAGGCTCTTCTTCTGGTTTGGGTTGTTTACACCACAGAGAAGCATCTCTTCAGCCACCAAATAACATCTTATTCCTTGGAGCTGGTTTGAAAAAAAAACAATAGTTCTTCAAAGAGATGAACAGAAAGTAACTGATTTGTATGGATGGAGGACATAAACTTGAAAAGAGAAGATATATGGCAGCACATACAATGTCCTTATAAAAACTAAATAGAAAAGCAGTTGGAACCAGTGTTACTGCTACAAGAAAAACTGACAGCTATAAAAGGAGACAAGAAGTGTCTTCTATTGTTCCTCTCCATCTAAAGAGTTACAAATAACTCCTATATAAATGTTCCCACTTTTCTGATCTATCACATCATAGTCACAATTGATGTGAAGATGTTGACATTAAATGAAGCTCAATACAACTGTTGTTCCTTATCTTTCAGATGTGTCAAGAAATTGCAATATTTCTCTTTTATTTTTTCAACAAACGTGTACTCTATAGCTCTTTTTAAGGAAAAAAAATGCAAGAAAAGTCAAAGTAAAAACTAAAGCTGCTCTGTATAAACTATGGAAAGGCATCAAATCTCACTAAGATTTCAGTCTGAGCTTTGGGTTATAGAGAAATACCTCGGTCAAAAAGTTACTTCACAATCTTCACTCAGTACTGTACAGGACAGCATAAACTGGTTACAATCAGCTTTTCCTAATCTCTGCATTCCAGAATGAAAATGAGATTATAAATGTTACATTGCCTTTAACTTTTTACATAAATAGTGGAATTGGAGAATCATAGAATCAATCTGGTTGGAAGAGACCTCCAAGATCATCAAGTCCAACCCTACCATGGTCACTAGACCATGGCACTAAGTGCCACATCCAGTCTCAGCTTGAAAACCTCCAGGGATGGGGAATCTACCACCTCCCTGGGCAGCACATTCCAATGTCTGATCACTCCCTCTGTAAAAAATCTCTTCCTAATATCCAACCTAAGCCTCCCCTGGCAGAGCTTGAGTCTGTGCCCTCTTGTCCTGCTGCTGGTTGCCTGGGAGAAGAGACCAACCCCCACCTGACTCCAACCTCCTGTCAGGGAGTTGCAGAGGGTGAGAAGGTCTCCCCTGAGCCTCCTCTTCTCCAGGCTCAACACCCCCAGCTCCCTCAGCCTCTCCTCATGGCACTTGTGCTCCAGTCCTTTCACCAGCCTCATTGCTCTTCTCTGCACCTGCTCCAGCACCTCAATGTCCCTCCTGACCTGAGGGGCCCAGAACTGCACACAGCACTCAAGGTGTGGCCTCACCAGTGCCGAGTCCAGGGGCAGAATCACCTCCCTGGTCCTGCTGACCACATGGTTTCCTTCCACAGCAATAATTCCTTTCAAAGATGCCAAGGTTCCCAGTTCCTTGTCTCTACACTTTCAAGTAAGCTCTATGTATATGGACAAATGAAATTTCTTATTCTCTCAAAAATGCAGTTTATAATCATTTTCCCAGATTGCAAATTATTAATTTCATACACATGAGTCTCACAGCAAAGGCAAAGTGATGGTGCCTGACTCCAGGATCAGAAGCTGATCCCGGAATGGTTTTGATCACATTGCCTCACCCACAGCTCTCCCTAACCTAATTCTGCTGCTGATTTATGCACATGTCAATATATGTGAAGTTTGAAGATGTTTATTCACCCAGACATCAATAAACATTGCTCATATAAAACACTGTTCTTTCAGAAACTCTTCTTATTTATAAACAAACAGGGAATTTATTCCTAGGGATGAAGAAATTTGCTATTAGTTATTCAAAGACTGAATTCATTCCTCCTATTTTTAGGCTCCTCAAGGTGGTGTCATGACAGGATCAATCTCCTACAGTGCCTGCAGGTCTTATATAAATATTCTCTCAGTAACAGTAAGTTTGCACCAAACCTACAACCCATGTCTTAATTTAGCACTCACAATCGTATAATGTACTCGCAAAAGGACAACTAATTCAGGTTTTGGGTTTCTTTTCTCCAATTACTGCAAGTATGTCCAAAAAGACAAAAGGCAAAGATTCCAGTAAAATGAAACCTGCTTCCACTGACAGCAAAACTTCATCTACTTCATGTTTGGGAAGTCTCCTTCAGAAAAAAAAATCCAGTATCTACAACATCAGAGCGTTAAAAGCGTGTCTAAGCGACTGATGGTGTTTTCAGTGCATGCTGGGGTGCAAATTTAATGGGAAAAAAAATGATTACTCATTTTAATACCTTGCTGGCTTTGCTTCACAGCTTTCCCTCAAGAACCTGGTCACAAAGCTGCAAGTGAAAAGCTTAGAGAGATCATCTCTCTAACTTATGTTTTATTCAAATACTGCTTAAATATTTTGGCTCTCTTATGCTTAATCCTTATCTATCTGAGGACAGGAAGTCCATGAAAATTAACAACTGCTTCTAGGGTAAGATGACAACCTTTTCCTAGGCCAGTTCCTCACAGCTCCCTACTGCCAAGAGCTCCTTCTATTTATTTTTCCTTTAAAAGCTCAATTAAGACACTAAATTCCAAAGACATACTCAAGTCTCACCCAAAGATTCACCACAAACCCCTTTCTGAGTGTGATGCACTCACAAATATCAAGGAAGGCAGTGCCACATAATGCAAGATCAGCTCCTCTTCAGAAATTCTTCACCACTTGTACACATAGATGACTATAAAATTAGTTTAAGATCTTACTCTCTAAAGTTAGTTGTTCAATTTGCTACCAAACACACTCTTTATATTCAGGATAATAACCACAATCATGAGCATCAGTGACCACTATTGCTACTTCAAACTGGAGGACAATAAATCTGTTCCAGGAGCTACAAAGCACTATTTGATTTCCATTTCTGCCTCCTTTGTCCTATAGTATGTATATACACTTTACTCCATCCCCAGTTCTTTTCTAGGATCCCAGGATAACTCTATGGGAAAATTCAGTGACACAGTATTATATTACAAGACAGAATTTATTTTCACTACAAACCATCCAGCAACAGGTTTGAAGGAGTTCCCGGATTCTCAAATTTGGCTAAATTTAAGAACAAGAAACATGCAAAATGAATTTTCAAAAGTATATTCATGCAAAATGCTTCAACAAAAATTTCCATCAAATTCTACCAATTCCAACCAGCATGCAGAGCTACAGATATCACCAATCATAACATTATCCAGACTTAAAAGACACAGCTAAGGCATTGGATTGACTGCCAGAACTTTGGGATTTGGAAACCAAACACAGGCAGCAACAGCTTCATGGCTTTGGAGTTTAAAAAACAAAGCAAATTCCAGAGGCCAACAGCCACCTAAGCAAACTATGTGTGCCCTACAAAAAAACTCAGCATTGCTACCAAATAGAATTGCCAAACGCGCCAAAAGGGATCAGCTGCAGTGCTGAGGCTCCAGGCAGCAACTATTTTTGTGTGTACTAGAAAGTAAATATACAAAGCAACACTAAGATAGGCAATGAAGGCGAAGTGGAGAGGCAGGACATGGAAGAAAGCTAACTATTTCAAAGTATACACAATCACAGCCTACCTTTTTAGACCCAACAACAAACTCACAGGGCAGTATGAGAGAAGAGGGGGGAAAAAAAACACAAAGGAACAAAACAAAAATTAGAAAGACAGAGAACAGAAAGGAAATTAACAGCCACATACACATACTGTGATCATCAGCTTTGATACAACAGTGAATGAATCCCATCTACAACACCTTGTAGAGAAAGAGACAGCTATGAACAGCCCTAAGTCCTCCTCGCTCCGTGGAACTGAATGGTGCCTCATTTAGAAGGGAAAGAACCTGAGACACAAACTGATGTGACAACATCACAGTGAGCTTATCCAAGTAGATTTATAATCATAGATGAGTATGGGTTCTTTTTAGCTGGAAACAGAAATAGAAAACTTTTTAAAATGAGATTTCTGGTATTTCTGGCATGTATGTTTCCTCGTTTTCTGTTTGCAGAACCTTCCTATCACCATGGGAATTTTTCCAGTGTTTTCCACCAATGTCTTAACCTCTACAAATAACTATCAAGTGCAACTGATTTCAGAAACTTCTATTATCCTCAACGGCCCAGTGACTACAAAAATATCTTCCCAATTTACAGCTAAAGAAACAGTATGAAAAATCAACAGATTTAGCCAAGATCAGCTCCTGGCTGAGTGCTCTGAGAATGAAACAAAGCAAGATCACACTCCCAGCCCTACAACTTCTGTTTAACAGGACAAGCTTCAAAACTTTTCAGGACTTAACCTCACTGTTTTTCATACATGAAATTTTCTACCAGCCAAAACAATTCTTCCACACACATAATACAGTGAGTTTGTGTATATTGTCACCTCAGTACAAGTTCTGGGAATGTTGTCTCTTCTGCTCCTTACACCGGCAAGTTGCAGAAGACAGAGATCATCCTCACTTTTTCCAATATTATCTTATTTGGAATACAGCATAATATGCATCTTCCTAACTTATGAACTCTACATCTTAAAAGAAGCCAATCATGTTGCAATTAATATGCAAAAAAGTTACTTCTAGTCTTACTAACTGGGTGAGAGAGAGAGATCAGGTATGTGTATACAGTCCTGACCACCTCCTAAGTATTGACCTCCCTGTTTCACAGTCTTATAAGATACTAGAAAATAATTGAGTAGGTTAATTAGTCTTCAAATCATATGATCAGAATTACCATGACCCCTGTAACTTCTTACCATATTTTCACTCAATGTATCAACCCAGTTCATTAGCTCCGGGTTACAGCTGCTCACCTTTAATTAGCAGTTGCCACTCACTGAAATGTAACTTCAATGTAGAAGTTAGAGGAAAAGAGATGCTTATTTAGCCTAAGAAGACATCTGCAACTACAGCACCAGAGACACACACACTGTTATAAGCACATACAACTTATCTTCCAACTCTGTGATACAGAGTATCTCTGCTTTTAACTAATTGGTTGCACACTGACTGGGAGGTCAGGATACAATATATGTATTAAGAAAAAAAAATGGACAGAAGGTATATAAAAAAGAGCAAGGGGATATTTTTTCCTTTAACCCTTTAGAAATTTCCACCTATTCTAGAAAAAGCTGTTTCACTTGCCTCAGAATCTCAGTAACAGCTTTTTTTTTTATTTCATTCATTATGTTGACAGACTCAAAACCAACAGAATAGCAAAATGTTCTTCTACCAGATGTTCTCATACCCTCCCTGTGCATTCAGACAACCTATACCCCTCCTGAGCAGAATTATACATCTTATCTTGCAAAACCAGAAACTGGCCTCCATTGAAGAAGGTCCATCCTAGCTCTGTAGCTCCCTGGAATGTGTAATGCAATGCATTCCCTAAGTTAGGGAATCTGTCACTGTGAAGAGAACAGGCTCAAATTAAATCCTGGTATTGCAACCCAAGGAATGAAATGTAAGCAATAAAAAACTCCCAAGGAATAACATTATATATACCACCAGTTCACATCCAAAGACTCAGGCTTGAAAGCCTAAGTTAGTTTAATAAACTGATGGTAGTTCAACCCTATTCCATGGACCTGAGCTTCAGAGAACACAGAGATGCATCAGGATACATGAAAAGTGCCAAAAAAGGTTCCTGTGCAGAGAAACTGTATTTTCATTCAGCTTTCTTATGTTACTCAAGTATAAATTCTAAGTTTTAAAACAATCAGAAGTACTAACTCCACAGCAAAATAAAGCTGAAGAACTTTCTTACCACTGAACTGAAAGAGGGATGACTGGAATATTTAACACCTTTCCTCTGAGAGTTCAGTGCAGCAAACATTTCGAGTACATCCATTGATCAAGACTTACTGAAAAACTGTTTGGTATTCAAACCTCCTAGCAAGGGTGCGTGCAGAGCTCTGGATAAACTCATGTGTGTGCACACCCAGGGTCACACAACTTCCATTCTGCAAAGAACTGGAGCATCACACTAAATCTGTTTGAACTCCTCAGGGCAACAGCATAAAACATCTCCGTGGATATGTGTGGACACACACACTGCTGGTCCTTGAGCTCCTCACCAGCTCTGAACTTCACAAGAAGTATTTAGCCACTAGATACACTGCAGCCACTGCTCATAAATCAGTTGCTTACCTAACAAACTGACTTTCAAAGTACAACTTGGAAGACACAATTGAACAGTGTAATTCATTCTGCTTTGGAGACTCTTGGCCAAAACTCAGTTTTTTTAGCTAATTGGAACAGGAAATTGTGATCACATTCAATCAAAATTCATTAAAACTGAGTAATTAAAGCCAAGATTCTAAAAGGGCCCATCTAATCTACAAAAGTTCAGTGCTCATCTACAAAAAAGCAGTAACATAATAACTTTTATTGATAATGAAAAATGAATAGTGCAGGGATGAACCAGAACACTTGAAAGAACTGCTCAAGTACAGAAGTTGGACTTGGACAGATCCCTGTGGGTCCCTTCCAGCTCTGTATAGTCTATGGTTCTATGTAAGGAACAACACTGGGTTGCATGTCAGAGCCAGTTCAGCTGGTCACCAAAGAGGAGCAGGAGCAGGGCAGAAAGGTACTGGTGCTCCATCAAGCAACCAGAGACAATTTAATGGAGGGCTTCAAGCTAATTAGAAACTTGGAATACATTCTTCTAGTAGGTCACATTCTAATCTAGAGATAGCTAAGACTAACTATGCAGGCAGAGCTGATGGATGTGATCCAGAGGCTCCACAAACCTGCCTGGACAGCTCTGGACAGCCCTGCCTGGATTCCTCCAAGCTTTTACACACTGTACTAACCACTGCTGGCATCCCTCACAGTACAGGACAGATGTGGAAGATACAGCTCCCATGCACACTGTGTATTTTGATAGGCCTTCCACACCTCTGTCTTTCCCAGAACAACAGGTGGTTGCTTCTATCCTTTGGATTTGACTGCAAACACCAAAGTCAAACAGATTTTGCACCTGTGTGTAGCTAGCAAACCAGAATTACTAATCCCTTGCACAAGAGCTATGTAACACACATCTGAGAGCGGAGCATGCAAATGAAGAGGAAGACAAGACATGAGGGGGAAAAAAAACCAAACCAAACCAACCAAAAAACTGTAACATACACAAAACTGAAGAGAACAGTTGTAGCAAACAGGTAGCAAACCATGACAGGTCCAAAATAAGAAATAATTAAATCACAAAGAAAAAGACAAGGAAATATGCTGGACTTAGGCACCAAAATAAACAGCCACTGTTTCTCAGGACGAAAAAGTAGACAGAGGCTTAGGGGAAAAAATACAATACGTAGAATTAGTCAAATACTACTCAACATAATGTAAAATTATTTCATTGATGTTAATTGCAATTTTTTGTTAATACTGTGTATCTATAAACCACTGGAAGCCTTCCAGCAGAAAGTCTCATTACAGCAGAATCTGTCAAACCTGTGGCTTTTTCCTTCTGATTAGCCCCATAAACTAAATATAAACAAGCTCAAAACATCAAATACGGTGAGACTAGAAATTAAATTCTCCTAAACTACAGCAGACAGACAGTAAGATCAGGGCATGACCTCTGTGGTAACAAGGTATGCTTTGTCCTTTCTAATAGGCTTATCCTAAAGGCAGACAAGTGCCACAAGTGCTTTTTTCAAGAGCTGTGAGCTGACAAAAGCAGCTGCTTACCTACTGTCGGTGTCCAGACCTACAAAATCCTTCTTCTCAAAGGGGACACAGAGGAGAGGGATCTTGTCTCCAGACTTGTCCGTGGCTCTGTCAAGACGCTTCGACTCCAGCACTATGAAGAGGGACTCGATAAAATCTTCTATTCTCTTCTCCACAGTTTCACACTCATCATAACTGGGGTAAAACGCCACATCCGTGCGCGGCTGCTCCGCAATCTCTCCCTGAAGCCCGAAGACAAACAAGCGGGAATCGTAGAGAGTAGAACCATACATTTCCTTCTGCAGGTGGAATTTCTCGAAGGTCTGAGGCCATTCCTTAGCAGAAGAACAGTCTGTAATGGTGATCAGCCCCACCACTTTGCGGTGTGTCTGGAAGTCTCCCCACTCGTTGTTCTCCGGGGGATAATGGTGCCTGTATCGGATGTACAGCACACGCTGCGAGTCGCGCACGTTCACTTGGCTCACGGCCGAGATTCGCTTGTAGATCCTGAAGAAACTCTCTTCAGGGACAATGCCAATGGGCTGAACCACGACCAGGAGGGTCTGATGATCCTCAGCACACTGCATGTAGTCAGGAACACTCATTTTGCCAACTGCAGGCTAGCAAAAAGAAAAATGCAGATTATTTTTTAGCACTCACAAGTACACGGGGTTTGCTGAATCAAACCAGGGCTTTGATGCTAAACATCAAATGCTTCTGCATCCCAAATATATGTGCTCCAATACTAACATTTGCTTCATTATTTTACTGTATCTTCAGCCATGCACCCTACTGACAATGTTACACAGGAGTGGTCTTAGTCACCTATCAAACAAAACCTGTAAATTAGGTTCTTCCAACTGAACCTCATTCCCTGTGCAGCTACAGGAATCACCACACACGTGGGGCAGCAGAGTCTCTGACACAGCCAAACAGCAAAAGCACCAGCTCAGAAGAGACATCCTGTCAGATTCAGGTTCTCCAGTACTGTTTTCTTGGGGAAATATGGAAAATTGTGTGGGGTGAGACATAAACAGGCACTAAATTGGGATGACCCAACTTCACACAGCTGTCAGTGCTCACACATGGCCAGGCAGAGGAAAATCAAGACAGGAACACTTATTTTTGAGAAAAAGCAAAGCCTCAAAACACATGCATGTAAGGACCAGGCAGTGTTTTCTGGTTTTATATTTCACTATTTAGAATTTCTTCTCCCCTGAGCTCTCCAAAACTGATTACTGCACTGCAGCTGGGTCTTAAAATTTAGACCAGCATCACTGAGCCCTCACATCCCAGAGACCTCCTGGACCACACAGACCCCTTGGTGGATTTCAGCACTCCCTGAGAGGTACACACCACCAAAACCCACAAACCAACCCAACAAACCTCCCGAAACACAGACAGACCCCCCCAAAAAATCACACTGGTTTTACAAACAGAAGGTCTGAGCCGGGGGCAGAGGTGGGGCAGCTCCTCAGAACTAATGACTGTTCTGTATCTCCCCTCTCCTCATCCTGCTGCCCGGGCTCTGCCCAGCAGCTTCATTCCCAGAGGAGGAGCCACATTCCCAGGGCCCGCCTTGCCCCCGCGCCCCACCCCGCCGCTTCCCACCGGCCGAGGAGGCAGAGAAGGAAGGAAGGAGGGAGGGAGGCAAGACAGGAGGCGAAGATTAAGACAGGGAGGTAGAGAGGGATGTAAAGAAGGAAGAAGGAGGGAGCGAAGAAAGGAGTAAGACAGGGAGGGAGACAGGGAGGGAGAGAAGCAAGCAGGAGGGAGGATGAG